CCGCGGGGCTGGGGGTCGCGGAGGGGCGGGGCGCGAGCCTCAGCCCCTCTCCCGGAGCCGGAGAGCCTCATCAGCGGCGGAAGTTCCGGCGTCGGTAAGTAGAGGTCAGAGGTCAGCAGGAAGTCGATACGTGGCCGCCGCTTGTCCCCGCCGAGGAGGCGCAGCAGCCGGAGATGGCGGCGGTGCTGAACGCAGAGCGACTCGAGGTCTCCGTCGACGGCCTCACGCTGAGCCCGGACCCGGAGGAGCGGCCCGGCGCAGAGGGCGCTCCGCTGGTACCGCCGCCGCCCTCGCCGCCCGGGGCGGGCCGGGGGCCGGGAGCCGCGGGGAAGCAGCCGGATCCCGGGGAGGCGGCGGCCGGGGGCGCGGCGGAGGAAGCGCGGCGGCTGGAGCAGCGCTGGGGCTTCGGCCTGGAGGAGCTGTACGGCCTGGCGCTGCGCTTCTTCAAAGGTGAGCCGCCCTGGCCCCACCCCCGCCTCGGCCGCCCGGGCGAGTCCGATCCGGGCGGTGGCCCGAGCGTGACCGGGCCAGTCCCCTCCTCGCCCGCCCCGGCCGCGACGACCGGAGCAAGCTCCGTCCTTGGGGGTCCTCGAAGTTTGTCACCACCCGCTGGGTCACTGGGTCACACCCCCTGAAGGGCCTGGAACCTCAGTATAGCAGTCCAAGTCCTGCCTCCCCGAGGATACCAGGACGTTTTACCCAATTTAGCTTCTCGGGTTTCCATGGCCGGGGTGGAAGAATGAGTCTTTTCTCTCCCAGAGGATCCCCTTCTGGGATGACTTTTTGTATGGGTTTGTTTGTTTGTTTACTGTCGCATTCCTTTTCTTGTTTCCTGTGGCTTGGCACATCAGACTCCACCGATTTTTACCCCTTTTCCGGGCAGGAAGAAATGTTCCCGTAGGTTATGTTCACTCCCTTTCCAGCCATTCTGGGGAACCGTAAACTCGGGATAGGACTTGCTCACCTGGCAGTTTCGATGTGGCCGAGAGGAGGAAGTATTAAGCTAATAGGTCCCCTGTGGCTAATTAGCCTCCAAAGGGAAGGGATGCCCACTATGTTCTAGTAACTTCTAGATGGTTAAAATTGTACCTTGGAAGCAATGTGCAAGAATAAATTCTCAATTAAGGCCTAAAAGTACTCTCTCTGTTTCGCGCAGAGTTAATTGTAAAATGTCTCTTGTCTTAGAGCACGATTGTGGTGTGGATTTTTTGTGGGTTTTTTTTTTTAATTGGGTGATTCACTGGTGGTGATACCAGTCACATGATCTTTTCAGTGGGAAAGACTGATGAGAGGCCCGTTACTTTGATTCTTAGAGATATTTAGATCTTGAGGGGCAGATCTTCGGCAGAATGAAACTTTAAAAGTGGTTGCTAGGTTTTGTATACATTCCAGAACAGCATATTTGTGACACTTTTCCCAGAGGGAGTTCCTTTTGGAGTGCAGTACATACTTGAGTAACTGAAGTTGTGTAGTTCATTGTACTGATAACGTGCAAAAGTTATTTGTTCTCTGCTGAAATAACTGTGCAAACTAATGAAAGTCTTTTATAAATTTTCCAGAACATTTGATTATTCCACATTCATTGTATTTTTTTTTTAAATGTTTTATTTATTTATTCATGAGAGTCAGAGAGAGAGAGAGAGAGAGGCAGAGGCAGAGGGAGAAGCAGGCTCCCCACCTAGCAGGGAGCCCGATGCGGGACTTGATCCAGGACGCTGGGATCATGACCTGAGCCGAAGGCAGACACTTAACCATCTGAGCCACCCAGGCGCCCCACATTCATTGTATTTTTTATTAAAAAGTTTACCCTTGAGATATTCGTTGTCATTGGACAGGGAGTTCAGCCCTCTGTGCACTGGCCAGCTTGGGGAATTGGTAATGGCTAATGGGTTTTAGATCACTTGACCCTTAGGTCACTGGCTTGAATTTAGTGTTTCCTGTGGTGGTGATATATTACCACTTATATAAAAATCTGGTGTTTCTTATACAATTTGTATAACTACATTTTACTTCATACTTTTATTCTTGGAACTTACTTTTCCAGTGTTCAGGAAGATTAAAGTATATAGTAGCACAAAGGTATCTTAGAAAAAGACCCACTTTTAATCCTAGCTTTTGCCACATGACTAACAAAAAAATAAAGGTCATTTTATCTTCTGAGCTTGTCTTACTTGCAAGTGGTAATATTTTCTTTGAAAGATTAAAACACTGTATAATGTGCAGTGAATTAGTATTGCTTTGGGAGTCAGGAGGCCCTGGATTCTATTAACCATGTAAACTCCTGGATAACTAACTTTTCTCTTCCAAACTCTGTTTCCAGGTGTGTGTGTGTGTGTGTGTGTGTGTAGAGCAGCTAGGTTAGATGAAATTTGATGTCTCAGGTTTAAGATTTGGTCTCAAGCTAACATTATTTTAACATGTTTGTTGAGTAGTAGGAGTCCTTGGGGAACCTGTAATTGGGGTGGTGTTGGAGTGCCTAGTTATCAGTGACCTTAGAGAAAAAAGCTGCATTGATAGGTATGGTTCATTGACTTCCTAAGTTAAGCTCTCAAAGCAATATTCAAATACTTAAAAGGAGAAATAGCAGTGTAGCAATTAAAGCTACTTTTCTGCATGGATCATTACATAGTTGGCATGATGAGGCTATCAGGATAAGAGACGACTAAGGGCGGGGTGGGGAGGGGCGTGTCTAAAAGCAGAAGAATTATGGAAAGTAGGTGAGTCAAGTGTTGCTGCTTTTGTTTTAATGTATAAATTTTCCCAGTGCAATACTTGACATTTTTATCAGTTCTGTAAGGATTTCTAACAGATCACTATTTTGTGGTTTTTTGTACCAGAATCTCAGCAAGAATCAGAAATGACATTAAATTTTATCTTCCTCTGTGGAATAAATATGAGTCTCGAAAGCATGGCTATCCATCGAAAATAACTTGGATTGGGAATCACGAACCCTGTTTTTCATTCCATCCCAGTCACAGCGGTCACAGTCCAGTGATTGAACCCATTATGTCAACTACCTACTCTCTTTAATTTTATGCAGGTAAAAATAAAATAGTAGATGAAAATATGGATGAATGTAAGTTACCATTCTTACTGTCCAAGCTTCAGACATTATTGGGGCGCCAGGCTGGCTCAGTGGGTAGAGCATGTAGCTCTTTTTTTTTTTTTAAGATTTTATTTATTTGAGAGAGAGTGAGCGAGTGAGCGCACAAGCAGGGGGATCAGCAGGCAGAGGGAGAGGGAGAAGCAGGCTCCCCACTGAGCAGGGAGTATGTTGCGGGACTCGATCCCAGGACCCTGGGATCATGACCCGATCCGAACGCAGATGCTTAACCAACTGAACCACCCAGGCGCCTGAGCGTGTGGCTCTTGATCTTGGGGTTGTGAGTTCAAGCCCCATAATGGGTGTAGAAATTACCTAAATAAGATTTAAATAAATAAACCTCAAACATTGTTGAATCCTTATTATGGATACAGTTTTATGTTAGATTACCACTGTAAAGGAGTAGTACGTTCCCTTTTGCTGTTAAGGAGCTTAGGGTCCAAAAGAGGAGTTAAAGACCCAATGACAGTCGCAATAGAGTGTGAAGGATGGAAGGGGCAGATGCGGGGGGAGAGGGTCAATGGCTGACCAAGAGCCCTGAAAGGACAAGGCGTGTGTCGGGAAATGGCAAATAGGAAGCCGTGTGATAGAGCTGGAAAGGCACGTTGGTGTCAGTTCCGCGGAGGGACTTGAATGCCATTGTAAATAGCCTTTTTGTTAGTGACAGTGAAGAACCATTGAAGGTTTTTACAGGGCGGAGCCAAGTTGCCCGATTCTAGCTTAGCAAACTTCAGCTGGTATTCTCAGCTCTTTGGGTAAGGGCTGTATTGGTTGGCTTTATTGTAGCCTTTATACTTCTTGGATAGAGCTAACCTGAGGAGTAGTATTTGGCTTTTAGAGTCATTGGGGGTGAATGTTTCCTTTTCTAATATTTTATTTCCTCATCACATGAAGCTGTTAGATGGTTGCATTAATTTAAAATTCCAGAGTATTAGCCCCAGTTGTTGAGCCGATGTTCACTCTGTGTCAGGTACTGCTTTGAGATAATATAATGTATAATATGCATTATTCTGTGTAGTGTGTAGTCCTCCACAGACCTTCTAGTGAGGACGTTGTTCTGGTTTCTTAGTAAAGGAACTTGATCCAGGTCCCTCTGTTATTAGTAAGAGGCAGGGTTGATTTTCTGATTCCAAAGAGGTCTTCCCACTACAGGAGATGACAAGTGAATAGAAACCCTGCTTTATCTGATGGTATTCTGAGCGAGATACTTAGAATTACTACCCTGTTGCCTTATCACATTTTGGAACTTTTAATTTATTTTTTGTTTTATTTTATTATTTAAAA